GACAATAAAATTAACTTTTGTATTCCAAGTGCCAAAGACAAACTTCCCAATTATAAATAATTTTGCATTGCCAGTGCAATACTTATCTTATAACGAACCTATAGTGAGCTACACAAATCAAAGAATACATATTTTACAGCATAAAAATTCACAGGAGAAATAAATAAGATGCTCAATACCAAAATATTTATTCCTATTCTAAGGAAACATAGAAAGAATCAACTTCTTGTGATGAGCCTACTGATTCTTCTTCTGCGTTGTTGTGAACGAAGTGGCTTTTCTAGCCGGTTTTTTATCTAAACTCGAAGTTTTGATAATAAAGAGAAGTGTCTCGACAAGCATGGCAATGACCAATCCAAGAATGCCTCCAGCAGCGCTCTGAAGAAAGAGCAATGAGACTTCAATACAGAGTAGTGAACCAGAGGAAGTAGATACAGTAGACAAAAGCACAGGAGAAGAGGTCGGTTATATAGTTGCTGTTGCTCCACGTATAGAGGTTGTATCGAATAGAATCACGAGGAAATCAAATTAAAAACTTACCATTGCTGGACTGTGATTAAATAAGGCCCTGAATGCAAAATATCCCATCAGATAGCCAGTGAACATTGCTATACCAACATGTAAGCCTGCACCAAAGGACCAGAACTACTTAGAATTAAACTGCAAATCAAATTCTTATTTGATTTAAAAGGAACTTGTAAAGAAAGGAGCTACCTAACAGCGAACTTAACCTGAACAAACGGAAGAGGAACGAAAATGAAAAAAGCTGGTGAAGACCAGAGATATACAAGTTAGCGATAGTAGATCATTCCTAACTCTCTCACTCACATGGTCAAATCAGGACGCAGCAACTGTATCAACCTCACAGTTGATACTAGCAAATCAAGTGATATATCTTCATACGGATGCAGCTTAATGGGTTTGATTTTATTGTTCAATTAACTCATGAAATATCAGTCAGTACTGGAACTTCTCCCAAGAATTGCTGCACTACTCTACAAAGAAGCAAGATGAGGAAACAAAAGAAAGCACTCGCTTCCACAACAAAAACGTACATGCGTACAAACAGAAAAACAGAAGCAATAGGCAAAAAGCAAAAATCCAAGTTCTAAAAAGAACTCATCAAATTTGTTAAAAGGACTTTTTCTCCAAAGCCCCTATTGTGTCTAACATTCAGCTAAAGGAAAATAGGTCAAGTCCACAAGTACCCACAAGTACCCAGTTGTTAAGGAAGAATGTGAAATCAACAATTGCCGAATACATAAATTAGAATGAATGGAATTTGAGCTTCAGAAGAACCCTAATGAACAGGATAACATATTTTATTAGATAATTGGAACATTTTCAAACCTTGTCCAGCAATGATGACATGAATTTTCAAAGATGCATAGTTCAGGTTCTTTCACTGTTAATCCTTACCATGAGTTTTTTGACCGTTGAAGAACGAAGGCCCAATACCTAGCCATGGAGGAACACATGGAGAACAAAAGCACCACCGAAAGTAGCATGGTTGGTTGCAAATGAAGCATACTTAACACAGGAAAACCTCCAGAAAAGAGGTATGCTAGTGAGGTGCCAGAACCTGTGTTGAATTAAGCCTGAACGTATAAGCCACCTGTTTTTGCATGCCCGGTAGTTTTAAAATCGTGGAAACTGTTTTTGAGTTTACCGGGCATTCATTGGACAATGCGAAAATGTAACATGGACTTTTTGAGAAGTTGGTACAGCAAAGGCATACGAGCAACAGAAATGATGGTGCACCATACCAGCTACAATCCAGGAGAGACTATTTGAAACTTGAAAGGAAAGGAAAGGAATGTTTAGGTTTGTTAACAATCAAGTCAAGTTGGTGTCCTGCATGCCCTTAGTTTCCATTCATAGGACCACCGTCATTCATACTATTTGATGGTACCAAGTCAATTTTATTTTTTGACATTTCAACGACAATATTACTGAAATAACTGTTTCTTTAACAGTATACTGTAACTTTATCCAGATACTCTGCTCAGCTTTCCAGTTCCGATCACCACCTTAAAATTGGGAGTACACATTGGAAAGCAAGAAACCTAATGCAACTATATGTTGGAATGTCTTTAAAGTTTATTCTCTAAGTCATAATTGCACAAAATAATGTAGACAATATCCTTAATGAATTTTTCACAAGTAATATTACCAAAAATCAGGAAAACATTACTACTTATTTCATAGCCCTTTTATAAAAAGGCTCTCATTCATCAATCTATTCAACACGAGTTATCTCTCTTCTTTTCTCTATTCACAAACATAAACTTCAAAAGTAAAAAAAGAAAAACATTCACAAGTTACCATACTCTATGCAGCAAGCATGTGATCATGCATTTTTCAATTTTTTAGGGTTGAGGAGGGCAGACAAAACTGCAACTGGAAGCCTGGGCACAGGCGTTGATTACAACCAAACTACGAAAAGACTTGCTATACATATAAAAGGGAAATGACAAAAAAGAGAGAAGAATGCATAAGTTCCTTTTAAATTTTAGATCAAACTTAGCAACTCGTTTGAAGAATAGAAAATGAAAAGAAACTCATTCACATATTCTTGGTATTTGATGTATTCTCTTCTTGTTGAAACCCAAATTTTATCCCCAATTTCAAGATTTTCCATTCATACCTATCTCTATAAATTAGTAGTGGAAGTTTACCTCTCCACCGGTCCACCCAACATCTCTTTTTTTCCTAAAATAAGCCCTCTCCCTCCAACATCTCTATTGACAATTTAACACCTATTGATCCAATTATTCTGCCTCAAAATCTCAGGAGGTTATAGACAATGAACTAATCACCCCAATGTGCATTCCCATGTTAAGAAAGAAGCCTAATCCAATATTGGTTTTTACAGCAAAGAACTTGAAATGCTAAATTTTAAAGCATCAGTCGGTCAGGCATATGCCCCAAAAGAACAACATCAATCGGCTCATGAGCTAACATAGTAGGTGAATACATTTGCAACATTATGTGTTACCCATGCTATTTTGCTTGACATTGTTACCCATGCTATTTTACATGTCATCCGACCTTTAATTCATGAGATCAGTGTGGAAATCAGGAACACAGCAGGGGAATTGGAAAGCTTTGCCCAAAAAATAGAATATGAAGCTATTCCTCTTTTCTGTTCCCACTGTAAAAAACAAGGGCATGTCCAAATTAAATGTGGAATCCTCCACCCGGATTTACAGAATGAGAATAATGCAAATGAGCAGATTAAAGACGACAATAGACCAAATAAAGGAGGTAATCAACAACATGGCAACAACGCCAACATCCCAAAGCAATCAAGCCAACAAGGATCTGGAAACAAACAACTTAGAAATCAAGGAGAAGCAATAGGGAATAACAAAGCTCATGGGTCCAAAGTTGCTGAAATTTCTGCCAAGACCGATAAAGAAGGTTGGACACAAGTGGACAGGAGGAAAAACAAAGCGGAAAGCATAACTAGAGACACCAACAATGGGGGTAACACAACAGACCAATCTGATACCACTGGTGGAAGCGCAAACAGGTTCGACCAACTACTGAACAACGAGGAGACACAAGATATGGATATCACCCGAGCCAATGATGAAAAAAATCAGAACACCCGGGAGCAGATTATCACTAAGCCTACAAGAGTTGACAAAGCTAAAACCACCAAGGAATTAGAGAAAACTCAAAATCAAACCAACTTATCAGTAAGAAGAACCAGAAGCAGGGCAAATACAAAGATAAATGATCCTGACCTCCAGCTAAAGGGTAATTTAGCTTCTATGGTGAATGTTAATGTCAAAAAGATTGAGACGCTGGAAAACAAGAAGAGAAAATTCAAAAATGGGATCAACATTCCAAATGATGTCACTCTTGCCGGGAAGTCACTCACATATTCAATGGAACAATAGTCAGAAGCAAAGTCCCTCCTGGTCAATGGACTGCTATTAGTCTGCCTAGAGGTAAGGAAGTACAGTTCCAGAAAAGAAAGCTACAATAGCTCTTGGGATAACTTATGTTACCCTTATGATGAAGGAGGAGTAAACTTCAGAAGGATCAATGACATATGTAATGCGTTTGAGGCAATATTAGAACTTCTAAATCTCTTTGGAGAGAATTCATGTGTGCTAAATATTTCTTTGACCAACATCCGATCAGTGTTCAATTAGCCAAAGGAAGTTCTCACTGTTGGAAAGCTCTTCAAGAAATCAAGCACAACACTGAAGAGTATATTCTGTGGAAACTAGGAAGAGGCGATGTATCATTTTGGTTTGATAATTGGTCCGACTTAGGACCTCTCTATCTGATCACCTCTAATGTAAATGGTCATACTCAAATCAAGCTCAATTCTCTTCTTAAGAATGGTACTTGGGAGTGGAATAGTCTTCAAACTCAACCCAATATGGAGCTAAAAAACATGATTTTTTTTTATAAGATAAGTGGTATTAATAACAGCATCAAGAAGATGCAAGATTTACAAGATATGGCATTTGAGCTTACAAAAAAAAATCTCTGGCTAACTATACAAACTATCTAAGCCAGAACTAATGAGTTAGTAAAATCCTGAAGTTGTTCTGCATTTAACAGCAGGATACAAGTTGGACCAACTAAACAAATTTGCAATGCATCTACTCTTCAAAATGCCTGAAGCAGTTGACTCTCCATCAAAACATCTCTTGTTCCTCTCTAACCAAATACACCAAAAAATACAAGCAGGTATCTGTGAGAAATATATACGAAAAATATTATTGAATTGTGTATCTAAATAGTTACATTGAGACCCTATTTATAGACACTACATTGGAATCCTTTTCCAACTAGGATTCCTATTCTTATTCCTATTCCTATTCCTATTCTTATTTCTATTCTAAGTAGGAAATACTTATTTCTATTCTAACACTCCCCCTCAAGCTGGTGCATACAAATCATATGTACCTAGCTTGTTACAGATGTAATTAATACGAGGACATGTGAGGGACTTGGTGAAGATATCTGCAAGCTGATCATTTGACTTCACAAATTTCGTAACAATATCTCCCGAGAGTATCTTTTCTCTGACAAAGTGACAGTCAATCTCAATGTGCTTAGTCCTTTCATGAAACACTGGATTTGATGCGATATGAAGAGCCGCTTGATTATCACACACAAGTTCCATCTTATCAACTTTGCCAAATTTTAGTTCTCCCAGCAACTGTTTGATCCAAACTAGCTCACAAGTTGCTGTCGCCATTGCTCGATATTCTGATTCTGCACTAGATCGAGCAACCACATTCTGTTTCTTGCTCTTCCACGACACCAAATTACCTCCTACTAAAACACAATATCCGGATGTCGAACGTCTGTCAGAGGGTGATCCTGCCCAATCAGCGTCTGTATATCCAATGATATGCTCATGGCCTTGATCCTCAAAGAGTAGTCCTTTACCGGGAGCTGACTTTATATATCGCAGAATACGAACAACTGCTTCCCAATGACTATCACAAGGGGAAGTCATAAACTGACTTACAACACTCACAGGAAAAGAGATGTCAGGTCTAGTCACTGTAAGATAATTCAACTTTCCAACAAGTCGTCTATACCTTTCAGGATTACTAAGTGGCTCCCCCTGTCCTGGAAGAAGTTTAACATT